GAATACAAGGGTATCCATCGTCCAGTCTTAACTTTAGCAACAGCGGTCAATTTGTTGCGGCACAGACGCAAAACACGACCGAAATGTTTGGGGAATTGGCAGACTATCCGAATCCGTGAGTAGCTGCAAAGTCTACTGCACCAAATAATTGTAAATTAATCCAACATTCCAATCTAGGCACATTATACTGTCTTGGATAGCGACTAACCGAATTGCTATCGGAATATTTCAGCATGAATTGACAACTTCAAGAGGATGGTTTATTGGCGAAGTGGATATAAGTGGAATTCCAACATTCGTTAATTCTAAAAGCTCATACCAAATCGCTTCTTCTATCATTTACCATCCATCCATCGGTTTTCGTCTACAAAATTACACTTACATCACTTACTATGACATCAATTTGACATTGTATCGTCAATCCAGTATCATTACAACCGAAGCTTCCCTACACACACTTTACTTCACAGTTTCTGCAATAGACCCTGCTGATAACTCAACCTACCACATTTATCAGGAACCCGACCCTACTGGATCCATTTTTGAGAGGCGGGTGATTGTGTTTAAACTGTCTAGTGGTGATAGATTCATCAAGTCCAACATCTTTCCGGCGCACTCCCTAACTGATCAACCGAAACAGGAAATGGATATAAAAGTCAATGGACAGAACGTTCTGTGCTCTTATGTAACGGCAGAATGGATAATTAGAGAAGAGTGGTTTCAGGGATTAGGAGCAACCGAGATAGCTCTCGGAATGTTTAGGAAGGAAGATCTCTCATGGCATGCTCGGACAAGGATCACTACGACAGGCCACGATTTTGTCACAAAAATCAATTTGAAATCTGACAATTCGTTCACAGTCATTGGTATGACGCACGGTCATATACCGAACTGGAAAGCACTCCCCACTGCGTTTCCAAACTTGTTCGCTGCCCGTTTCGATTTCATTCAAGTTACACAGATTCTCACAAGAGCGTCCCCGGTCAATTCAAGCCAGATTGAGTTTTACAGTGGCACGGAATTCAATGTTTCAATTAACAAAGACATCACCCCATTCGTTCCCGCCTATACCTTTTTAAACAGAAGGGGTAAATCGAAATGGACGTACTGCGGGCAAATGAAATTAGGAACTACTTCTTCCCTAGCTACCCCTGCCAGTTTTGGAAGCGGTAAAATCTTTGCCATGAATACCTCTATTTAAAATATCGTTACGTCTGATACCCTTTGTGTTCAATTAGATTTATACTTTACCACGCAATTGCTTGAGTATTCACAGATACCCCATTTTGGATCAGGGGCGTCGAAGATCCGCCACGACTATTTAATACAAGCGTCATGATTGATGAAGACGAAACCGTGCGTCTCAACTTCACAGTTCAAGACATTGATTCAAGTCCCATCAAAGTTTCTTCCTTTCGGATTCATATTCGACAATGATGGGAAAGAAATTTCAAACACCCCTCATATATTTCCCTTGACCAGCACGTACTTATATAAAGCCCCAGAAAATCGACACGGCCAACCACCAGAATTCTTCTTCACAAATATCACGTTTGCAGCTTTCGACGGCAATAGTTTTAGCGCTACAACTGGAGTGTTTTCGATTCATATTCGTCCCATCAACGACGCTCCAGTTACCAGGAACTTATCAGTATCAATGGACAGAGATCCCACAATGCAAATATCTCTAATCTGTAACGATGTAGACAATGTCCCGACAGATTTAGCTATTACTATAACAAAAGCGCCATTGAATGGAACGCTAAATCAGCATGACGCTGTCGCTAATGGTCCTGGTGAGCCTGTGTTTAATTCCGTAACTGACTTGAGTGGTATGGTATGGTTTGTTCCAAATAGAGATTTCGTTGGAAAATCGTCGTTTTCGTACGAATGCAAGGGTAACTCCATATCCTGTTATACTGCCAGATATTTAATTCAAAAATTGCTAACTATCATTTGATAGATATAAGCAATGCCAGATCGAACACTGCGAATGTTGATATTAGCGTCAACCCTACATTGGAATGCGAAAACGAACTTCGCCTGCCTGCTGACTTTTTGATAGGACTCATCGACCACTTAGCTGTTCCCTTGACTAGCAAAGCATTGGATTCGCGAAAGTACGCATCTTAGGGTTTCATAGCTTCGTGCAATGTTTGTCTCTAATCTACTTCATCATAGCGAGATTTCATTTCTCATTAGTTCGACGCCGACGAAAGGGATTTTGCTGACAGAAAATAAGACCGGAATCATTCGTGCCGGCGAATTGATACAGTCTACCAGGATCTGGTTTTCTTCCAATTCAGAAGGCGGAGGGTAATTTGAATACAAGGGAACATGTCAACAATTTCAGACTCTATTAACATCTACTTTTATGTATTGTAGAGTTCCCTACGCCAACTTCTCTTATCGCGCGATCGGACCTTCAAACACAAGTTCCAAATCCTGTAACGTAACCTTCAAAGTTACATGTCCTCCGCAAACTTTCTTGAATATATTTCGTAACGGAAGTGGTAACATTTGCACCAGCTGCCCAGCTGGGGCTATTTGCAGGCAAGTTCACTTTATGATTAGGCTAAAATGAGGATGAAGCTGACGAATTACCCGACCCACTCCAGTACTGATGGAAGTCACCTTCCTTTCGCAAGTTTTGGTTATTGGCAGAGTGCTGATAACTTTTATCTTCCTTGCAATCCGGTATATTTCCATCGTTCGGGTTATATTGCGGCGAATTCCAGGAATCTTATTCTCTAGTTTAGGACTTCGCGTGCCCTGGTTTACAAAACCAAAGTTGCGCTGTAGGCTACACCGGTCCTAGTGAGTTGAGCATTCGCACCTTTCTTCCCGCAATAAATTAGTATACTTACATTTTTGACTAGGGTGTATGGAGTGCCAACCGAAGCAATTCAAAATCAATGTATCCCTTGCTCTACAAACACGACGTTGAATGTTGCAATCATTGTGTCGCCGCAGTGTTGGCAGGAATCATATTGATCATTGTGACCACTACAAAACGGAGTAAGGGACCTAGGTAAAGTTTATCTATCTTTGTTTGGAAATCTCGTGCAATCACATACTTATTTTCGTAAACAGCTTCGGTCTTCTGAATATTGCCATCAATTTTGTTCAGACAGTTTTGATTATTCGAAGATTCAATCTCCGATGGCCGCCGGAAATTTTGGCGGCTCTTGATACGTTATCGTTAATTAATCTTAATATCGAATACTCATCGCCAGAGTGTGTATTACCGGACGATTATTTCTTCGATTTTCGCGTGAAAATGAAAGCGAGTCTTGTCATCCCGTTGGCGCTGTTCTCTCTGGTGGTGATATTTCTCAAATCGTGGCGTCTCGTCGCATCAATTACCCGACGAACGTCTCGCGGAACCGCTAAGATTAATGATGATGTTAGCGATACAGTTTTGTGTGTAAAAGTATTCAATGTTCTGCTGTCAATTGTGTTTATTACCGTAGTTGAAAGTGCGCTCGCGTAAGTATCTCGGCCGATAACTTCGTGAATGAAAAAGAGACTGGTTTATTAACATCCATAACCCTGCAGCCTATTCGATTGTACGCAAGAGGAAGATGGGCGATACTACTTAGGTGGGCTTTACATAAAGATACAGCGACAGATTCAATGCATTGACTCCATTACTATCATTAGATGCCGATCCAAGTCTCCAGTGCTATCAGAAATGGTACTACGAAGATGTCCCCATCGCTACTTTGGCTGTAATGTATGTATCATTTCTCAATACGTAAAGAGATACTTGAGACTCCTGGTGACTTATGCACTTCTGCAAGACTCTATGTGATCGGAATACCGCTCTATTTTTTCGGTCTACTTTATTCGACATATCAAGCGCGCTTTCATTCTCGGGTGTGGGTGAAATTGAAGACGTTTAGCCAGAAAGTTCTGCTCTCGGACAAATTGTATCGTGCTGAGCATCAATATTTTGTATTTGTCCAATTCTTACAGAAATTAGCTTTCGTTGTCATCAATATGTTTTTCACTCGGTTGGTTTCAGTCTTTATGTCATCGTTATTCCTGCTTCCTCTTACAGTTTCTTTTCAAATTTACCTCAAACAGTTATGTTATCCTGCAATCGACTTTGATGATATTTGTGCTTGCGGCCGTCTTCCTCATCTACGCGTTCAAGAAACTATACACGAACAATTCATTAAATCGACTGGAATTATCATCAATCGCAACCACGTTTATAGTTTTAAATTTAGGACAAACATTCCGGGCTGACTATTTACGAACGGCGGAACAACGACTTGCATTCGCCATATTTATTTTAGTACTAGTACTTGGATATCTCGTCGTTGTATTCTTTTACGGTGTTTATGAATTTCTTCAAGTTGTGCGGAACTCGAGATTTACCCATCGTTTATTTTCAAGCAGTTCAAATACACGACCAGCGAAGCCTGGGATAAGACGTAATACAGTGCTTGATAAGTCTGTTATGTAAAGGTCGAAGTTGTCTGGTTAATTTGGGTCAGATTAATTATGAGTCGAAATTGAGAAAGTTGAGTCAAAGCTGTGTCTATATATGGACTGTGGAAATCAGTATTTTGTGTATTTTAGATTTCCTTTACTTTTAGTACAAAGTATATACAATAACATATATATACCACAAGATGACCCATATTACTTCAGGTGAATTAAATCCATTCTACCAAAGCAATACTCCCTTACACACCCTGAAAAAGTTGTTTGCTTATTAAGCCCATAAGAATGTCTCGTTTGGGCTGCTATTTTATAGGAAGTGTTATTAGGCTAGTTAACGAATAACGACCTTGCGAACGACGGAAATGCCTAGTTTCTGGCAGACATGTGAAGAATATTGGATTGCCGGCTCCTGTACTTCTTCAACAATGTTTCCTGCGATCGAAACAAAAAAGATGTACTTTAAAAAATGTATTGCAATTGGCTTTTTAGAATAGCAACAAAAATGCACAAAATAAAAATGCACTCAATCGCAGAAAAAGGCAAAAGGGCCCGACCGGGGATTGAACCCGGGACCTCTCCCAAGCTGGATGACTCATGCGAGAACTTCCCTAAGGGAAAATCATACCACTAGACCATCGGGCCGCTTGGGAGCGGGAAAACTTATTTGCAATAATAATATATTCATTCGAATACAATATTGAATTGGTATCACCTCCGTCCAATCCGAGCGTTGATTGTCACCAACAACAGCAGCGATAACGGATTCCGGGACATTCAAATTAAATGGTCAATCTCAAATAAAGAGTCGACTCGAGGTCGATACCTTAAATTATTTGCTGAAAATCACAAGATCATTACAACACAAAACGTACAAAACAAATAACTTAATAAAGCCAAATTCACTTCCTGCCGACGTCCAATAACAGCAGTATACACTTGATAATATTACAATTGTCCTTTCATAATTGCCTCAATGTCAATCTCAGGCGACAAACTTTGGAATTGTAGCTTTTTACCATCAGGAAGGGTCACTGAGACCATGCTTAATTTTTGTCCATTTTCAAGCGGCGCGGGCGGAAGTTTCGTGAATGTGACTTTTCGGATATCGAAACTGAAAATAGTCTGTAATTGAAAGTATATAGTCAGTAACAATTGTGTTGGCGAGCAGTCAAAAAAGTGTGAAGAAATTTGTATATCAAACGTAGAATACACGGATGAGTTACCTTGGATTCCTTGGATGTCACGAAACAGGAATTGAAGTGATGGAGGTGCATGACTTCAACCTCTTCCCATCGCGAGAGTCCGATGAGTTTGCTTTCCTGTACAAGAGCATGAAAAGTCGAAACCTATTCAATCGTAAATGTGCGTTATGCGTTAAACCGGGTGAACTTAACTTATGTAAAATATGGCGAAAATGAAAAAAGATTTACCTTGGTGTCGGAGATTGATCTTGTAGTTTTTTGAGCGGTGGAGTTAAATGATGCAGTATCAAGTACATCGAATTTGGCAAGTCCCACTTTTTCATAAAAAGAAAGAATCAATGAGTTTCGATGATATAAGCAACAAAATAGAAATAGAGGCGGACGTACAATTTGGCATTAAGAATGAATGGCTGGGTTGGGAACCGGGTTTTTCACCGGTTTTCTTACTATCATTAACCACAAACCAAAGTCGGCTCCAGAACAAAATAATAACTATCGCCATTGCACCAATAAATATCAGTACCGATACCAGGATAGCCTTAACCTCGAGTGTTAAATTGACCAAATATACTATAGGCAGAACCGCGCAACAGCTAATTGTGATGATATAAACTGTGGATCCGATAGTAAGACTTTCATTGTAAAGCTTTACGACGACCCGGCGAATTAAAATGGACAAATAAATTGAATACATGACTAGAAGGCCGTTGTAAAGATAGAAAACTATCGAGAATGCGCGCGAGTTCGTTGAATCGCATATCATGTAGCGGTCCCCGTCTTCGCTTGGTTGGAATTCAGTCGGTCTTGGTGGGTCGATGACAGTCCATAAAAATGCTATAAGCTGAAAGCCACAAGTTGTATTTAGCTATCAGGATTCTTTATGTTACGGGAAAAAAACGGAAAGGATAGTTTACCACTTCAAACGCAGTAATCGCAGTAGTCAGAATAACTGTTGTACGGTTGAACTTTTGGGCTTCCATTTGATGAACATTGTTGAAAATGCTGTAGACTCGGACAGTTTTTCCAACAAGACTTCCCCAGCACATTCCGAATCCAACTGGCAGTAGCCAAATCTAAAAACGAAATCAACATATTTGTTAAATGCCGGGTCTAATACACCAATAGCTACGCTGTATGAATGAACTTACGATGACTGTGCAGGAATTTTGTGTTGGTTGCCCATAGAAAAAGAACATCGAGGTCGCAGCAAACAAAACCCCCGCCAACATTAACATGCAGAATGGAATGCTGAGTGCTTTAATTGGTTTCTTGTTTCTATGAATGAACAGCATAACAGTTGTCGCTACGACAGCAATATATATGAGACTGGCCAACGCTTGGATAACCTTCGCAGTTGGGTCAGCCTCTTTAATGTATGCCGGCGCACCAAGCTAAATAAGCGTTCAAGAGAATATTATTTTTACGTCTTAACGGTCGATTGAACAACGAAAAAGGACGAATTACTCTTCGCGAGACTTGAATATTGAATTCTCCACTGGATACTTCTTTATTACTCATGTATACTTTGATGGCGTATAATCCTGGTTCTGAAAATCTGTATTTAATCTTCACGGTCTCATTTTGTGCTTCCAATTCGTAGAAATTGTTGAGTGTTCTTTGAGTTTTCAATTGGGTCGCGGAGACACGAATATCTGAAATATTTGCTTGGACTGGCTCTTGAAACCTGTTTCGCACATTCAAAATGACAAAACTCTCTTCATTTACAATAGCGGATGTACGATTAGTCACATGTGAGTAGTCAGGAGTTGGCTCTGAGCCATCTGTCGGCATCGTTCTGCTTAAATCTGTAGAATTGAATGTATTAGAGAACAATCATAATATGGATTAGTGCCAAAAAAGATTTCATACCGCCGTATATCAAATTCTTATCCATATTCTTGTTTACGGCTGACCATTGAACCATATATAACTCCCGAGCGGTCGCATTCTTGACATTCATCAATTCATAAAGCGAAATAAAATCTTGTGATACTGAGTCAAAGCTCGTCAATCCTCTTGTCAAATTCACTGATATGTTTCGAAATGATTCGCGCAGTTCCCAACCGTTAAGAGGATTTCTTCCTGCTTGCACTAAAGATAAAGCGGTTTCTGCGAAAAGGTACACAGAGTCATACATTTCCGAGATTCCGAGGTCTAATTGTTGGAAAGATTTGTTGCGGAGAGCCATGAATTTGTAGATCATGATTTCCTGGAGGGTACTATCGACCTATTAAGCGAAAAAAATTTAGTGTGCCTTAAAACTGAAAGCAACGGTAAGTAGATTTAACAAACATGCATATAAGGATCCAAATAAAACGCCCCAGGCCAGAGATCATTATAGGGATAATAGCCGAACGTATTGAGGATCCACATATAGTTAGACCCAACCATATTTTGTTTGACAGCTTCCATCAATACGACATCAGCCACATCGCTCCCGGCTATGTAAATAATCATTGACACTTTCGATTCTCGGAGTTTTACGAACGTTTGGTTCAAATCCATTCGGGGACCGACAGTCAGTATTGAACGAATGACTATTCCTTCAGGATCAGTTATAGATCTGAATTTTCGAAGAGAGTAGTATCCCTTTTCATCTTCATCAACGAATAATGCGACATTCTTAAATCCACTCGAGATGACGAATTTGGCAAGATCTGACAATTGTAATGCGAGCGTTAGTGTTAGGTCACGGAATCCACAAGAACAAACATCATACATTCAGCTTCAGATATAAAACTGCCAGACAACCGAAATACGAATGGCATGAAAGTTTTGTCTGCGAGAAGGGCGGAAGCAGCATCTGTGGAATTTTGCAGGAGGAGAACGCGATGTGAGTTTTTCAAAATTATAAGGGTAATCGAAAACTGCGAGCAACAAACATGGAGCTATCATCGGCTTTTGCAACATTGAAGCCAAAACACCGGAGGAAGTGACTGAACTGGAATACATTGGACCGATATAGCCAACTAGGCTGCTGACATTTCCATGAAGTTCGGTGACACCTTGAAGAGCCAAAGTAGCGTTTCCCCAAGTTCCCTCGTCTCTGGATACCCTTGATAAAGTGAAGCTCGTATTGTAACGGGTATTGTTATTAATCTCCTCCAACGCCATATCAAAAACTATGGGGAGATCTTCATTTCCGGGTTCAGTGAGGGGTAATACTAATCCAATCGCATATTGTTGCTGCGCATATGCGATGGAGATACAAGCAAGGAATAGGAGGATGAATGACCATCCCCAGCGCAGAGACATTTTTTGCGCTGCTGTATTTCAGGGGTGCTATGAAATATGCGGATGTGAAGTTGGAGTGAATAGATGAGCGATGGTTCAGGGTTAAAATTCTAAGATGGAGGAGAACTGAGATGGAAAAAACAATTCACCGAAAATATCCGTATAGCTGCTTTGATGACCAACGGACAGTAATATCGTATATAGTGACTAGATGATATAATATTGTGCATGGAGAAAGATTTATGAGACAGTTATCGTGGAGCAGAAGGATGCGCGACTGAGTTTCGCGATCCGCATACAATCCGATTCGCGTTCTAGACGTCAAGGCAGATAAGAGTCGAGATGAGAGACATTTATTGAAGAAGGTTTGTCATGATGAGGATTCAGTTAGATTCAAAGTATTGCAGAACGATCTCGATGCCTCTGGACTACATGCGAGAAGATACTTCTGAATTGCGATGTCCCACGATACTCCCGCGATTCCATCCTCTCCCAAAACTAGCCTCAACAGTATTATTATAGTAGATTCAAATGAATACAATGATAAGGTCACGAGATGACCCAATTCAACAACTTTTGTCTTGAGTCATATTATACGGATGAATGTAGAAGTAAACCAAACTCTTATATCACATTTACATAATTGTGATACGGCAGGACACTCTGAATTGATATGGCACTTGTGGGAATTTTACACAGGGTTATGAGCTGAGTCAAGACTCAAGACGCAAGAGCAATCAAAGTGAATCTGCGAGTACTTTGAAATATGTGATTTCGCCCATGTTGGGTAAACTGTAATGTGTTTATGTTATCTTCATTTGCATACATACTACATATATGTTATATGCCTGTGTTCTAATGTGGCAGCATTTCTAAATTTCTGTTTGTGAAAGCTCACAGTGAAGAAACCGAGAACAATGACACACAGATGTATTTTCACTTATAATCTGTCATGAAAGATGGATAGCTGAAAATCTATGTACCTTTTATTATAGACTGTTGTTGTTCAGCTTTTTCGTATTGAATTTGAACGTGGAGGATGACGTCATTGTTGTTACTATCATTCGGCACAAAAATTAAATTCGTTCCTTAAGCAGCGAAAAATTCAAGTATTGCCACTTAATGAATTGACTATGGATCAACACAAAATAACCATACCGCAGGAGACACATTCACACACCGTAGCAGATAAATTGACTGCTGCCG